GCGGAAAAATTCAGGGAACAAGTCCTCCGGGAGGGACTTTAAGCTCTGTGTCCCGTGTCGTAACTTTACGGCACATAAAAGAACCTCATATCCCCAAAGGGGATCACTGAACCAAATTCCAGGACGTTTCCCGCCCAACAATAGTCTCTAAGGCCTCTGATAGATGGGGGAAGCATTATAGACACCGCTAAGCAAGTGGCCGAACTCGCTTGCTCGGCGGGACTGATGGTATGCACCATTTATCGGTAGGGTAAAGAGACTTGTAAAATATCATAGAGGGAAGCACAATAGATCAAACTGGTCGTGGTGCATGGGGAAACCCACCCTCTCTAAATAACTAACTAACATTGCGGGGACAGCAAAAAATCTAAACCCTGATTCAAAATTGAAATACAATGCATTTCTGACGAATGTGGCAAAGGCCTGGGCTACAGTCCAGATGGTGGCGGCAGAACCAGGGTCACACAAAGACTTAGTACGACCAGGACCATCAACTCCCACCCCACGAAGGCCTCATGTGGACCCCCCAGGGCGACTCTTGAGTGATATGCGGAAAAATGCCCTTGTGAAAATTCATTCCAAAGGGAAGAATACTTCTAGGCAATGCCATGTTTGCACAGTTCACAAAAAAAGGAGTATGTCTACATTTGCAAGTTCTGTGTAATGCCACTTCACAAAGGGGAAAGTTTCCAGAAATATCACAGTCTCAAGCACATCTAGGAGCATTGGTGAGTGTTCTCCAAAAATTTTAGTTCAAAAAATTAATTAGGAGATTTTATATTAATTTTTAAAGTGAACAGTGCACAAGTTAGGGTAGTTTGTTTAAAATGCCGGCCCGCGAAGTTTTAAGTAAATACGTGATTTTTATAAGGCAGAAGAGGTGAAAAAAATTGTTCATATACAATTTGTGACCTTATCCTTCTATTTTTGTAATATGTTCTGACACTGTGACATGTGTACCTGTCAGGTCTTGTGCCCCATGCTGTTTGTCCTTACCGAACTCATATAATTTCATGTGCTATATGTAGCTAGTGGAATCACATTACTTGTATATATTTTGCTGAAAAGTTTATGCATTTTTGGAACGTAATATTTGAAAACTACTCTTCGTGTTAAGAAGACAATAATTTAGCTGACTGCCAGATATTTGAAAGGGTTATAAAATTTTGAAAATGCTTTATCCAAAACTTTTTAATGCATCTCATATTTACCACAGCCTGTCATAATTATCACCATCCTTGTCAATTTGATTCACATCTGAGAAAAGAAGCAAAGGTTGTGGAGAAATCTGTCACGTTTTTTTCACATTCCGTTTGTACTGTTACAGTCAAGAACAGAAACGTTCTAAGCTGAATTACATCAGTTCCTGGAGATGGTTCATTGTCAAATGTGTCTAAGTAAAGCTGATAATATCGATTAGTCTCCACCAGCAGTGTGATAATTATGCAAAATCAACAAGACAACATTAAGAGGCACTTTATTATTCTTCCTTCCTGTGGGATGTTGTAATTAATCACATACTTTGCACTTCCTAGGGCAAGATGAAAGTGTCCACCATGAGTTTGCTTGCTGCTGTGTCGTCCGTTGATCAGGTTCATTCTGTTAATCATCTTCAGAGGCATCAGGTGGACAGGAACAGTGTTGTGTTTCAGTAGGAATATCTACACTTAAACACTTGGTAAAGCCATGCTGTGAAGGTGATTTCTTATCTTGTAACAGTGGCTGATATAGTCAACGTTCATAATTTTCTTTTTTCGTCCATAATTTAATTTCTGTCATTTTCAGATGTCTCACTACCACTGTCCAGCATAACTTCAGGTATCCATTAAGGCTTTAAGAACTTGTCATTCTTTTTTGAGATGCTCTTGTCAACTGGTAAAAGCTGTGATTTTGAACTGCTGGCTCAGAAAGTTTTGTTTTTGTCTCTCTCATGCATAAATATGAGTACATGTATATATGTTTCTCCTTCACCATCGAACATGACAATAAATGTAAGCTAAGCTATTGTAATCTAACAAGCTGGGTTCATCTGAGAACAGAAAAATCCACTTGACATGAACTGTCTTCATAGATGTTTATAATTGCCAGGTTGACAGCTCTGGCAAATCTTCTCAGATTGTAGAGACAACAATTCATTACAAATCATTAATTACATTAAATATGAATCAAGGACTAGAAGTGCAAATATAAAATCAAAGAAGATTGCACAGTTTACCTAAATCCTTTCCAAAACCAGATTGCTTGAATCCTCCAAATGGAGCAGCAACATCTGTTTTATTGTATGTGTTCACAAACACTGTCCCTGCATCAATTTTCTCTGCAACATGCAGAGCCCGATTTATATCTTGTGTGAAGACGCCTGATGCCAGCCCAAACTCTGTATTGTTAGCTCGCCTGATGACTGCATCCATGTCACTAAAAATAAAATGTAATTTACATTTACATTTATTTATCATTTCATGGATTCAATCATCTCCCTGTAGGGCTGAATGTAAAACATGTCACATATTACAAATTCATGATGACTACACATCATACGTTCTTGGTCCAATAAAATATAAAATCAAGCCTGAGACAGAATAGCTCAAGTTGTCAGGACAACAGACATTGGTCATGAAAAAACCACAATCAAATTCACACCTTGCCATTCCACACACAATGGCAAGCCATATCATCCAATTAGATTAAAAAATATTAAAATTCATAACAAAAAACAGACATCATACATACTACTACACTTACAGCAAGCAAGTCTCAGTAATGTATCAGTGACTCACACAGACCATTTATTAACTCTTAACTTTTGAGCCACTTACATGCTCGACAAATTAAATGAGTAAAATGCGTTACTTTGCAAATAATTTCGTAAATCAAATCTAAATTGCTTTTTATCATTTTTTAAAACTGTCATATTTGATGGCAGAGTGTTAAATAGCTTCACGCATGAATAATACACCCTTCTCTGATAGGATGATAAATGTGTTGAAGGTATATGAAGGTTGTCATTCCTTGTGGTACCAATGACATATACAGAATTATTGGTTTGAAACTTATCCAAATTATTAACAACAAATATCATCAATGAGAGTAAATATACACATGGCACTGGTAGTATGTAGTAGTATCTCTACATGTATGAGTTGGGCTCACTCCCATCATTATTATTCTTATTTTCCTTTGTATAACAAAGACCTTGTGACTGTCTGATATATTTCTCCAATATATTATTCCATATTTCACCAATGAATGATAATATGCATAATATATAGGTTTAAGATTATTTATATAGATATAGGATAATTTTCGCATTAGAAAATCGACTGTGCTCAATTTGTGAAGCAAAGTATCGATATGTCCCTTACAAGTCAGATGATTGTCCAGCTACAAACCAGAAATTTTATCATTTCTACTTCTTTCAGCTTTTTGTTAAAAGAGAATGTACATAGAGGGTAGCTTGTAGCTGCTGTTGGAGTGAATTTTATCATTTCTGTTTTATCGAGATTTAACACTAATTTATTATTTTGAAACCATGTAAACATATGATTGAAAACAACATCCAATTTTGTTTTTAAATTATAGTAGTCTTTAGCTGTGCAAAGAATGCTTGTGTCATCTGCAAACATAATAACTTCTGAAATTTTACTTATTTGAAGGGGAAATCGTTTATGTATATATTAAAGAGTAAGGGTTCTAACACCGATCCCTGAGGCACACCACATCGAACAATTTCCCAGTTAGAATAATATTTGTTATTTATATAATTTAATTCCACTCTTTGCCTCCTATATTGGAGGTAAGATTTAAACCATTGCAATAATATACCCTGCACTCCATAGTACTGCAGTTTCATTAATAGAATATCATGATTAACGCAGTCAAAGGCCTTGGCTATGTCACTAAATATACCAGTTACATACTCTTTTCTATTCTAAGCTGTAAGTATTGCATTGGTTAATTTAAACATTGCATCTTCAGTTGATAATCCCTTTTGGAATCCATACTGCTCTGAAAGTAATATTTTATATTTTACAATATGATCATTGAGTCTTCTAATAATTGCTGTTTCAAAAACTTTTGCAAACCCATTTACTATAGACATTGGCCTGTAGTTACTTATAACAGCCTTTTCCCCTTTTTTGTATACTGGCTTAATAATTGCATATCTTAATCTGTCTGGATATAGACCCATGGTTAAAGACTTATTAATTACATTAGTTAGAGGTTTACTGATTTGTTGCCTGCACAATTTTATAATTTTATTTGTTACATACCCTTAATAGTTTTTTTATTTTAATTTGCTAATTATACTAATTATTTCCTCTTTGTAACTAAATTATGATTCATGTCTGGAATACCATTTGAGAAATGTGAATGCAAATATGTCATTGCAGTATAAATATTAGTGTTCTTAAAATTAAGATTTTCTGTTATTTTTGTGAAATGTTTATTAAAACTATGAGCTGCTTCTTCAGTATTTATTTTTTTTATTGTTATTTTGAAAAGTCTGTGGTAGATGTTCTTTATTCTGATTGTTAGTCCTACCTGTTTCAGTGTTGATAATGTTCCAGGTAGTTTTTATTTTGTTTTCAGCTGATGTGCTTAACTGATTATAATATTTCCTTTTAGCTTCTCTTATTACTCTTCTTAATATCATGCAGTAGGATTTATAGTACGATTTAAACAAATAGTTGTAATTGTTTCGACAGAGAATGAACAAGGATTCCTTCTGTCTACAGGATGTACGTATTTATCCAGCCATTATCCTTGAGTTTATTTGTTACATTTTGCTTTGGAAAGCACGACTCAAAGACAGGTAAATACTTATTTAAAAATGAGTTGAATATTTCGTTTACATAATTTAGTTTATATATATTTTCCCATTTTTCGTTGGATAGTGTATTAAGAAATTGAGCAATTCAGTCTTCATTTACTAATCTTGTGATTCCCTGCACTTGTTTCTTCTCCAGGAAATTTATACTTTTTAGTACGAGACACTGAGCATCGTGATCGGATAGTCCATTACTAATAGAGATTACTTCATATGAATTTATCCTTGCCTTATCTATAAAAATATTATCAATAGCAGAGCTTTTGGTCACAGTTATTCTTGTTGGGAACCATACAGTATGAAATATATTATATGATGGCAACAGCACTAATAGCAGTGTTTTACATGTTGACTCTTCTAAAAAATTTACATTAAAATCACCATATAATATGAATTCAATTTTTGGTTTATAGAGTAATTTGAGTACTTTATCCAACTTATTTATAAAGTACTCAAAATTCCCACAAGGTATCCTATATATACACAGTACAAATATATTAGTTTTAGCTAAAGAAATCTTAAATGTACAAATTTCTATGTTCTTTTCATCACAGAACTGTGCTAGATTTACAGCATTAAATTTTATATCAGATCTTATGTATAGACAAACACCTCCTCCCTGATGAGTCATATACATTCTAAGAGCTTAGGAAAGAGAGTGAACACAAGTTTCAGTAAGTCAGGAAAAATTTTTACAAGGGATTTGATATACTAAAAGTTACAAATTTACGTGTATATGTCATTATCAATATACACCAAATTACATTAATTTGAAACTCACCCACTAGGAAATTTTGATATCACCATAATTGGTCCAAATGACTCCTCACGAGCAATATACATGTCATCTTCCACATTTGTGAACACAGTTGGTTCGAAGAAGTAACCCGCTCTGTCAACACGTTTTCCTCCACATTCTAGTTTTGCACCTTCCTTTACTCCAATAGCACAAAATTCCATTAACTTTTCCAGGTGTTCTTTGTGATTCTGTGGGCCATGTTGTGTATTTCGTTTCAATGGGTCTCCAATAACCTGAATGTGAAGTATGCACATATTAACATTAAATGACAGGCCACTTGGTTTCAAAATTTGAATCACTTGAAAAATTTAAGCTTTAGCTATCATATGGCTCCACCTACGCTACTCAGCATCAGAGCCAGCATGTATGTTCATCAGGTAGCATGAAGAATGAAGTCAAAAGTAAATATGCAGGGTGTAAATAAATATTTGTTACAACGCTCTGTGGTAGATAGTATAACCGTCCTTCCACTGATGATCGCTAGCTGGTTTGCCAAGTGTTTGTGGGCTCCTTGAGGCAACTAGGGCTACCAGTGTTGCGACGATCCTCACCCCTCACTGTTGCTCCTCCATCACTGCAGCTACCTCAAGCTCTCTGGGGAATAGCTAGGTTAACATGTGAGACAGGGAGTAAAATTTGGGCACCAGCAAGCGTACGTCAGTAGCTTACAGCTGGAGGATAACTGGACAGGTGAGTCTTGACTCCGTCCGGCTTTCTCAGGGAGAGATGGACCTTGTCTCAGGGCGTATCAGGCCTCACTCCAGGAGGATGGGAAGAAGATGGTGTTCACTAATTTCATGAACACTGGCTATGCCACTACGTTTAATTATATCTTTATTGAACTTATAATTCTATATTCTTGGCAAATCATGGACGTCTGGACACTATTTTGTGTCTGTATCAGTTTGATTCTCGGTCATGACTCTTTGTGCAATGCTGCTCTGCAGTAACAAACTCTCGGAGCCCAGACTTCCACAAGGAAGCTCCTCCTTGAAACTTGCCTTATTGGCCTAGTTCAGCTTTTGGGAGTTTTCATGAAATTGGCATCCTCCAATCAAAATTATCTAGTTTTTAATTATTTGATTGCCTCTTTGGCAGCTTGGTGGAAAATTACCTTCAGTAGCGTGGGTGTTTGAATCCTCTACCGCTTGAATGATAGTGGCAATAACCTTCCACCCTTGCTTTTCTCAAAGGAATGCTGTCCTGGTTTTACAGCTTTATTCAAGAAGTGTAGTGAATGCTACATCCTGTCCCTTCTGAATGAACTGACAGAAGGTCCCATCCTGTCCACTTCTTAACACAAAAATGGGACTACATGCTACATCTTAAATATAACTTATACTTAAATGAACGGTTACAATAGATGAGTTCAGTCTGATCACATTTTATTAATACACCTATGTCCAGAAAAGCTTTTTTTGACACGAAGGGCCACAAAAGTTTCTGAGAGGATACATAAGTTATGTTATCATTGTTTTACATTATAAAAGTTGTTCAAAATGGCGGCTGCCTACTTCATTGCATGTTCTGCACCGCCAGGCCATGTTATGCTGAACTCTTTGAAAGATTCCCGGAATATCCAAGATGTTTCCAGCTGCTACCGCAATTCTTGCCACAAGATCATACAGTGTCTCCACTGGAGTCTCATACACCAGGCTCTGCATGTACACCCAGAGAAAAAATCCAGTGGAGTCAAGTCAGAGGAGCAAGGAGGCCAGGCTATTGGGCCTCCACGTCCAATCCATCTGTTGCCAGAAGTTTCATCCAAATACTCACAGATGACATTAGTGCACTATGCTGGGGTGCCATCATGCGGGAACCACATTTCACGATGGACTTCCAAAGGCACCTCTTCCAGCAGCTTGGGGTAAAGTCTCTTGGAGAAATGTTATGTAAATGACACCAGTTAGCCACAGAGGTAAGAGTTGAGGGCACCCTCCTTCACATTTCATAGGCCCTAGCGCATGAACAAAGCATCTCCGGACATGGGAGTATTAATAAAATATTATCAGATTGAACCCACCTGTCTATCACAGAGCGCTGTAACATATTTATTTACATTCTGTATGTAAGTATGTAAATATATCAAGTGTCATGTTCTTAGTGTGGTAAGCTTCAAAATTAGGGTCTTCTCAGAAGTGATGCCTTGTAGTTTGATAGATGGAAACTAATGTTTCAAGAAAACTTGAGGTTTTATCTTCAGGATAGAAGTAGGAGACAGCAGGATACTCTGAAATGCTGGTACCCATCTACCAAACTATATAGTTTTATGTCCCAGAAGACCACAATCTTGGTGTATAAACATCTACAACTACCCATATTTAGCATAGTAGCAAATATTTTATTTCACGTTATAACACTACACTGTCAAAGACTGCTAATAATAATGCAGACTAATACCATTACTAAATATTATATTTCTACAACCTGCTGCATTGAGACACTCCTCTTCCACTTGTTTCCTTCTCTAATGCAACATAAACTTTTATTTTATTTTTTTCAATATCAAAGGACATATTCTCATATTAATATCAAGTTTCATGGTTTTAGGTCTATCATAAGGTGGTTGGAATTGTGAACATTGTGTGTGTATGGTAAATTGAGGTGGTTATATAATATTTCTGCCATTGTAAGTGAATATGGGCCCACATGAGAGGAAAATGCTTTACAGTTCAATGGAAGCACATGTTAAGCTTGTATTCACCTCATGATGGCCAGATAAAATAGTCAAAATATTTTATGATTTTAATAAAATAAATTGAATGTTATACATTCTCTGTGTTGCGTTAGATAGAACATGATAGTTGATTGTGTTAATATATACTTAATAAACCTTCAGATCTTCTAGAATATCATGTCACACTGAAAACAGCTATTTAAATTAATTGTCAGGCCCATTTCATGTTAGTTTATTAAGCACAGTAAGTGCAAAAATATTATCCAGTATTTAGCAAAATATTGCTATGTGAAATATTTAATTTATAAATGACATGAATGTACAGGGTGTCCCAGGTGTTTGGTGCCATACTTCAGGAGAGTACTGAGGGTTCCCTATACAACAACTTTGAAAGAGGATTCCGTGTCCGCAAACGTAAAATAGCAGTGCTAGGGCGGAATTTAATATCATTTTGTTTAAACTTGACACCTCAATGTCAAAGGGCATTCACAGGCATATTACCCCCTCCAAACTCACCTGTTCACCTGCTAGAGTAGATGTTGGAATTGGCGCCTACCATTTTTTGAATGCATGTGTTACATCGACGTAAGAAACTTTGGCGCACCCTTTCAAATAGTCCAGGTGTCTCACGGATCACGTCACATGCAACAAGTATTCTGGCCAACAGCTCGAATTCATTATCCACAGGTTTATCATAGATCAGACTTTTTCACTTGGCCCCAGACGAAATAGTCCAGAGGTGTCAAGTCTGGGGATCGGGGTGGCCAAGGCACTGAGCCTCCTCTACCTATCCAACGACCATGAAAAGCAGCATCCAGGTAGTCTCGTGATACAATGATGAAGTGTGCCGGTGCTCCATCATGCTGTATCCACATTTGCCTCAGCACAAACAGTGGCACATCTTCCAACAAAGTCGGAATGATAGGTTCCAGGAACACCTTATAAAACGGTTCAGTGAGTCCTGGTGGTAGGAGGAAAGGCCCATTCAAGTGTGGTAACCATCTACAGTAACATTGGGACTTTCAGATGAGAGCAGATCAGAGCAAGGATCAGAGAGAGAGGAGTTATAGTAGATCATACCTACTACAGTCCACCGCTCTACCAGCTGAGCTACTAGAGGAATTCTTAGTGTGTGTTTTAGGCAACATTGCTTGTGGATTCAGTGTGGGCAGTGAGTTCGTGTCTTAGTGACTTGTAGACTATACATCAATGCTCGGCTTGGTTGTTGAATCTGTAAGTGTCGAACCAGAGATGGCTGGTGTCCCTGTGCCAGGGTACCAGGCATTCTGGGCCGAAAACCTTGCCGCTCTACAGGCCGAATTTAAAGAAATTATTAAGCAGTACTCCGATGCCAAAACCCATTACAGGCACTTATTCGACATCCTGTGCAACATTGAAGATGTGGTCGGCTTCACAACTGCTGCGGTTGGAGAAAGTGCAGAATGGGCGGCAATAGTCAATGCCGCCGATGACAACAGGATTAATTACTGCAAGGCCTTCTCCAGCAAGACGCTGTTCAGTGCACTCTGTGGAAATTATACAGTTACGCTGAACGAGCTGAAGTCCCTGGTAAAGGCCAGCGCACCAGGCACTAAAATTCCAACCCGAGCAGAAGGCTTCAATGAAGTCCGGAGGCGGAAACGACAGAGTACCGCTGAATCCTCACTGACTCCAAAGAAAGCAACGGCAGCCGTCGAAAGCAACCCCAAAACAGAGGTTACCACCAAGAACTACTTCGCCCCCCNCTGATGAACTGGTGACCCTGGGATTTGATGTGGTTAGCGTCAAACAGATGACAACCACTCGTGGGTCACCTTCAGAAGAAAGGATATCAAGAAACCTTCCCCTCTTCCTTATCACGCTACCCTGGACGGCAAAATCTCAAGAAATTTTTGAACTACAAAGCCTTTGCCACATTTCCATCCGGGTTGAGGCATATAGAACACAGAGTGGCCTTACGCAGTGTCACAACTGCCAACAGTTTGGCCACATCTGGGCTAATTGTAAGCAACCTCCCCCTTGCATGTGGTGCGGGGGTGGCCACCTGCTCAAAAAGAATGCCCAGAGAAAGAGAACGCTGCCTCCACTCCAGCTTGTTGCAATTGCCAGTTGAAGGAGGGAGAGAAACCACATCCCGCCAACTATCAGGGCTGCAGACACGCGAAGGAGGAACTGCAGAGGAGGAAATCGCAGAGAGCACCAAAAACCACAACGGGAAGGGTGTTCTCAAATATCGTTACCCCTGGAGTCTCCTTAGTGGTGGCGCTCTGAGGCAGCACATCTCAGGAGCAGTGACTTCAGACTCGCCAAATACCAGTGGCATTTCCACCAGCAGCCATGAAACCGAGCGTCCCGGTCCTGGTACAGGATCAACAAACAGGTCAGTCAATTCAGGCACCAATTTTGAACAGTCAACCCCTTGACAATATTGTTGAGAGTTGTGACTGTAGTACAACAGATTATGACAGAGTTCAATGGTGCTGTGACAGGAAGAGAAAATATTGGCAATCACAAAAATTGTATTAAACCTAATGAACCAAAATTGCCACTAGAGTTCATAGGCCCCTCAAAGTCATAGCATTTAGTGCGAACGGCATTGGGAGGCAGCGCCATGAGCTCAGCAAACAGCTGCAAGATCTACACATAGATGTGGCCCAGTTTTCAGAGACACATCTAAAACCTCACAAGAGGTTCTTTATTCCAAATTACCACTTTTATAGAAGCGACCGCCACTCGGGCAGAAAAGGCGGAACTGCCATTGCAGTTAGAAAAGGCATTCCCGATAACCATGTAGACCTACCACCCCTTGTTTCAGTAGAAGCAACAAGGGTCTGCATACCAATCAGTAATATTGAAGTACTGCTTGCAGCTGTTTATAAATCTCCAGACAGATCCTGGAGTGATGCTGACATCAATGAGCTCTTAAGCTTTAGATGTAAGACTATTTTGGCAGGTGATTTGAATGCTAAGCACCACCCATTTTGGAATAGCAGAGTTTCATGCCCCTCAGGCTTGAAAGTCATTGATTTATTTGATAAGAGTGATTTCGAAATCTCAGCACCACAGTGCCCCACTCATTATTCCCCTGTGGAAAATGGTGACATGTTAGACATTGTGGCTCACAAAAATATCAGAGTGTCAGATGTCATCATCTCTGATATTTTGGATTCATATCACCTACCAATATTATTCCACATACTGGATCACGTTAAAATTAGGAATCTTTCGGAACCCATTGAAAAATTTAGAGATTGGGAGCAGTTTCAAAGCCTTGCTTCTGAATTAATATCACCTAAACTAGAAATTGTGAATGGAGAAGTTCATGGAGGTAGGCCTAGGCCCACTGGGGCTATAGTGCCAAGGGGGGGGGAACCCCAGAAATTAAGTTGGGGTTAGAAGCCGATAAAGCGGCACGTGGCTTTGCAGCCTCTATTCCTTCAGCATATAGGTTGTCGACAAGTAAAGTTACACTTTCGGACATAAACAACGATCTTCCTGGTCTAGATCTTTCGATAAAATATAAGCAGAGGCTACAAAAATTGTGGGAAGAAACCAGGGATCCAGCATGTAAAATGGCAGTTAATTGGGTCACCAAATCAATCAGGTGAATGACCCGTAAAAAGCCACTTGAACGGTGGGAAACAAAAATAGGTAACGCTGAAGTCACACCTCAGAGTATATGGCCCAATGCGAAATCTCTCCTTAAGAGAGACGGACCAAGGGCACCAACTGCTATTCATGGTTCTTCTGGCCTTAAATTTCATCCTTTTGAAAAAGTCAACGAAACTGCCGACTGTTTGGAAATTCAGTTCATGCCACATGACCTGTGTGACGAGGCTGGAGTTCAAGCTCTGCTGGAAAACGTAGATGAAAACCCTCCTCAAAGGATCAGACCATATGACGTTCAGAAATTAATAAAATCCCTGAAATTAAAAAAGGCCTATTGAATTGACTGCATCCAAAATGAATGCCTCAGGCATCTTCCAAGACGACCACTGGTTCACCTAACCCATTCATTCAATCATTGTTTTCGGCTCTCTCATTTTTCAAATACATGGAAGGAAGCAAAAATAATAACTTTACCTAAACCCGGTAAAGACCCAAAATTTCCTCAAAATTTACATCCGATCAGCCTCCTGTCCATGACAGGAAAACTATTCGAAAAAGTAATTTTGAAATTCCTTCGTAAACATATTGAAGAAAGAGGCCTGATCAACACAAGCCAGTTTGGTTTTTGTGCATGTCACAGCACGACATTGCAATGTATGAGGCTGGAAGACCACGTGACCCTTAATTTCAACAATAAAATGTCTAAAGCTGCAGTGTTCTTGGACATCGAAAAGGCTACCACGTGGCACTCAGGCTTGCTGTATAAGTTATCAAAATTGGAATTCTCTAACTGTTTGACCAAGCTTATCGGGTCCTTTCTTTCTCAGAATACATTCAGGGTCTCGATTGAAGGCGAAATGTCAATGCCAAGGGAAATGCAACCAGGGTCGCCACAAGGTTCTGTTCTTTCCACTACTCTTTTCAACTTATATATAAATGATACCCCCCAAACTCATGGTGTTCACCTGGCCCTCTTTGAGGATGACACCTGTCTATATGCGACAGATCGCAAGGAGGGTTTTATTGTTAGAAAACTCCAGCGCGGTCTCAGTTCAATGGAGACCTGGTGTGAGTGCTGGAATATAAAAATTAATGAAGATAAGACCCGGGGGGGTCTACTTCTCTTGTGGGTGTTGACCGCCTGAGTCTTGTCTTACTCTTAATGGACGAAATATTCCATTCGTAAATATTGCAAAATATCTAGGTGTAATCTTCGATAAGAGAGTTACATGGAGATTACACATAGAAATGATCGAAGCCAAGGCCTTCAGAACATTCATTAGAGTCTATTCCCTACTCAAAAGTGAGCGATTGAGTGCTAACATTAAACTGACCCTCCACAAAGCTCTTACTAGATCTGTAATGACTTATGCTAGTCCCACCTGGGAGTTTGCGGCAGACACCCATCTAGTGAAATTGCAGCGCCTACAAAACAAGGTTCTCCACACCATTGGCAATTTTCCAAGGTGCATACCGGTCCACGATTTGCACGTGGCATTCAAAATTCCATACGTATATGACTACATAACAAAATTATGCAGGAAACAAGCAGAAGTCATACAAAATCATGAAAATAAGAATGTTCACATTATTGGCCAAGGTGAAGCCTGACATAGAAAGTATAAGAGGCTCAAACTTGGCGGCGGTCAGGCATACGACCATTCAAGTGACTAGACTGCCGTGATGGAAAATAATACTAGAAATAGGGTATAATCTGCTGTACAAAGCCTGGACTGACAGAGGCCTTATATATATTGTACATAGAAATAGGAATTAAGACTAGAATTAAATTATAATTATATGTCAATACTGACAATGGACTGACTAGGACTGACAAATGACAGACCCAACCCCTCGTCAGAGAGGGTGCCCCAGATAGACAGGACAGCAACTTTTACAATGAAGAAAACATCTGGTCATGAGCCCCAGCTGGGGCTGGACACCAAGACAGACAGACTGGCTGACCGTCAGCTGCAACATGACTTTGACTTTGGGGTTTTCGTCAGCCCAAACATGGATATTTCAACAGTTGAACCAGCCATCCCTTGTGAACTGTGCTTCATCTGAATAACATGTGATTCATGAACTTGGGCTGATGTAAACACTGGTTCAGTATCCACTGACAAAACTGAACTCGTGGTACAAAGTCAGCTGGACCTACGTCATGTACTCGTGTTGGATGATACGAATTAAGTTTTTGGTCATGCAGGATCCTCCAAACACTTGATTCTGATGTTCCCACAATCTTGGCAATGGCACAAGTGCTGGTGGATGGCTATTCCTCTATGCAATGCAGTTTGACATTGAAGCACCAAGTTTAAACAAAATTATTTTAAATGCCGCCCTAGCACTGCTATTTTACGTTTGCGGACGTGGGTTCCTATTTCAAAGTTACTCTACAGGAACCCTCAGTACAATCCTGAAGTATGGCACCAAACTCCTGGGACATTCTGTATAATCAAGCACTAATATAATGGACTGTGGTAAGAATTGATTTTTTTTTTCAATCTGCCATATTCCCTTTAATAATTTAATACTTCCAAAACTTTAATATACCCATAATTTAATACTATGAGAATATATTGGGAACATTAATTTTTCCTATTTTTATCACCTGTTTTGAAGTGGATTCTGCCTGTAACATATAACTATGAGTCGTAGTTACACTAAGCAATTTCTATCAGTGAAGACTACTAATGAACTTTCCTTAGTACAATATACATACGAGTTTCCTTGTTCTTTCTATTACTCTTTTCACAAATTCATCATGGATGGAAGATTCTACAAAGAGCCGGCCAGCTGCAATGCAGTTCTCTCCTTTGTTGAAGAACACACCGTTCTTGCCCTGCAATAAATATTCATGCAATGTTGTGTTGTTTGGCATGAGGTTACACTTTACATCTTCACTTTCTTATCATGCCACAGTGTCTCTGTCCTTATAAATTTCAAAATGTTTTCCCATAACATCCAGTCACCAAGCCTTACTTGTAGACACATTGAAAAGTCAAACACCCATTCAGTCACATTTCATTGCCATTTACAGGCAGATCCAAGGTCATTTATAAGTTCATAATGTTGTGCAGTTTACACTTTAATCTTCTCATTAATACAAATATCCCAGTATGATGAACTTTGCATGCCAAGCAGAGAGAAATTGCACAAATTTTATTCTTTCGGCAATAAAAGTACAAAATAAGCTGTTTTGTCTACATTTATTATTCTGATAAAAATATGACTTTCAAAAAGTATATTAAATCTACACATTTTGTCATTCTTTATACTCTTTGTATCCAATATATATGAATGTATATATCCCTTATTATGCAATGTCAAGTATTTGTTATTCAAATTACAAGGCAACAAATGTGGTGCCTAATCAGAAAGACCAACTCTTCCTGTCATTGAAGAGGAGACCCCATTTCCCAATACAGAAACAGTCTTGAAGTGAACTAAAATTCTGTCATGGGTCCCAATGGGGCCTGAAACCAGGAACGCCTGTGCTGGCAAGGGTCAGCAGCAAATTACTGTACCGGCACATAGAGTATTAATTTTATATAGCCCTTGAGCTGAAATGGGAGAAGAAAGAACCCTTTGATGCTCATGGTGTGCAAAGCGACATATTCCAATTTACACATTATAAAAAATTATATAAAATGTTCCTGTAATTCTCGTGAAATATACTTCCATTTCAATTCAAATGTGCTATACATCATCCTTTCATGTGATTCTCAAGAAGTTCAGTTACAAAATCTAATACTTCACAGGATAAAATTGACACAAAAATAAACTTACCATTCTAACAGCTCTATCTAGATCACAATCATCAAATATTATGAGTGGGGACTTCCCACCTAGTTCCAGAGAAACCTTCTTGAGATTTGAGTCTGCACAACTCCTCATGATCACTTGTCCCACACCAGTGCTGCCAGTAAAACCAAGCTTTCGGATATCAGGATGACTTGCTATGGCACTGCCAGTTTCTGAACCTGGAATATGAGAAAAGGAAACCTTTCTTTATGTCACTCTATTTTCGTGTATCTACAAATTTTCAAGAGTGCTACATTTGTATATCTCTGTGTGTGCATGTGCTCCTCCATTCTTGATTCTTTTAATGATGTTGAATAAACTACACTGATCATAGAGAACCACATGAGAAGTGGCTTTTCCATTGAAGGATCGACAAGAGTCACAGTCCTTGAACAGGTGCTTATAGTCACAGTATGGCTCTACAATATAGAGTGTCCGGATGAAAGGTATCCAAAATAAAATAATTATATCTCAGAAAGCATTTATTGTACACATTCATGGGTTACACCATTGCAAAGTGAAATTATTAAAGTTTTTTCTTATAATGTAACATTCTCAATAAATTTCAATGTGGGCTCCCTTGGTTGCACAACAAATATCCAGACGATATTCAACCTCGTTCCACATTACGGGAAGCATGTTTGGTGTTACCATAGCCACAGAATCCCTTATGTGGGCTTTCAAGTGTTGAAGGTCTTTTAATCTTAACCTGGTAGATAATGTTCTTCACATCACCCCACAAGAAAAATATCCACTGGTGTTGAATCTGGCGACCTAGAAGGCGAAGCAATTGGTTCACCTCTGCCGATCCATCTCCTGGCCATCTCTCTGTCCAGGTGATTCCTAACATGTGACAGAAATGTGGTGGCATTCGAGCATAAGTCAGGCATGAAAAGTGAAACTTTGAGAGCTTTCTTTTCCAATTACATAAACCAGATACATGTATGACAATTAGTTTCAGAGTTATACATTTTTTGTTTTGGATACCTTTCATCTGGACACCCAGTATATGCATCCATAGCTGTAATTGCCTGTGTTGATCCTTGTTTGTTTGTGTGTGTGTGCAAGTGTGTGTGTGTGTGTGTGTGTAAAGTTAACTTCGTGAAATTATCTTTAATTTGAATTGATTGGTGCTTAAAGCTGATTTTCGAAAATGCCACCGCTGGCCACAACACAGGCTGCTGCTCGGTTGTGAACCACGCCAGACATACCAGCCCACCCTGCCTTGGGTACCTCTCAAGTGTCGAGATAACGAGAACGCTCTGTCTGTAGCTGACTAAAAATAGCAACCCGCCAGCTGACAGAGGTGGTTCATACGAGGGCGTGTACGGGAATGAAGAAACGGTCATAATTCCGTAACCATCCAAAATCGGACACATGTTTATATGAACTTTTTTGATCACAAAGACCTAGGAAACCACCTCCTGCAGTTATTCCCTAAAGTCGTGAAACACCCTGTATGTACTTTATATCTGTGTAGAGGAAATGAAATCTATCACTAATCTTGAAAAAACCTTTGGCTCACTTTGCATATAACTGTCATATTTGAGCTACAGAATTTCCCTTCCTTATCTTGTAATAGCAATAATGATAAAAATACTTGCTTGAATTGTGCAACCAGATCCCTGAAATTAATAAAACAACATTTTTTACACTGAGTGCAGTCAACTGCCTGTTCACCTAACAAGCTTCTGCTGAGGACTCAAATTGGTTTGCAGAGAGGACTGAACACAGACATCACTGGCGAAAGCTGATGAGTTTATGCATTCATGGAATGATGGTGGCAATGGAAAACCAGTGCTATTGAAGAAACCTAATCATGTGTCACTCGTTCTGTCACAAATATAAATGAACTCACCTGGAATTGATTTCAGATCTCTAAGCAATGAGGCAGTGTCTAACTACTTAGTTTGGCAGGGTTTTATTTACCTTCCTAACGATTTTATTAGCTTCTCCAGCTTTCATCAGTAATTGTTTTGTTATTACAGTATAAATATGCCATAACTGCTTCATCATCAGCAATATTTGCAGCACAATACCACACACAGTAAGTCTGTAAATTATACTACAAAGGAACCCTGTATTATTATTTTCCATGGAAAACTTGCAACTACTAATGCATTTATTTGTAAAATTAATCCGTAACATTATTATAAATTTGTTCTGAAATTTAGCATACCTGATCCTGGCAAGATATTGATGACACCAGGTGGGAATCCAGCTTTTACAGAGAGTTCAGCAAATTTCAGGGCTGTTAGTGGTGAAACTTGTGCTGGCTTCATAACCACAGTATTACCAGCAGCTAGACAAGGTGCCATTTTCCAAGACAGCATCATCAAAGGATAATTCCATGGAATCACTAGACCACATACGCTTAAAGAAGAATGGTCCATTGAACTTATATTTATTTGAAAATGTCAAAATAAAAGATTAAAAATTCTGTAATAATTTTTAAATATATTCTTCTATTCTAATCTTATACTCAACAACTATCTTTATTAAACCACGATTCTCTTAAAATATTAAATTTCCAGGAAGCAAGCTTAAGTACAGTACAATTTATGTACTTCTTGTACATATAGACAGGCTACAAAGTAAGAGGGCTACTCAGAAAGTAACCTCTGGTGAGCTGTTAACAAAATAAGCAATTAAAAAAAGTGTAGTATATTATGCTCAAAGTGTATGTATGAGTATATACTTAATCTGTTTCTCAAAGTAGTTGCCTCTGGAATTGAAGCACTTGACATATTGGAAATAAGTTCCTGTATGCCTGTGTCAAAGAAGTGCACGCGACTGTATGCGGAAGCATGTTATCATGGAGGAGCACTATGAGTACAGTGGATGTAAGCATTCCATATATTTTGTTCAGAATGGCATTATGTAGTTTTTTCAGTGTTTTACAATACACTTCTGATGTCACTGTGGCCCTTTGTTGCATGAATTTAACCATCAGCACGCCTTTCCTGTTTTCTGGCAAGCAGACATCTGCTTAAATTTTTTCAGCTTGTTCGATGAATGAACGTGCATGTCCTGCTTTGACTGCTATTTGGTTTCAGCATTCACAAATGAAACCCAGGTTTCATCACCTGTTGCGATGTGATTGAAAAATTCATCATCATCTTTGTGGTATTGCTCTAAAAATTCAAAGCCAAAGCCATTTTCTGCGTTTTTTGTGCACCTGTGAACATTTTTGGAACCAATCTTGCACAAAACTTGTGACAGCCTAGCCTAGCATAACCAAACTGAGATAATCTAGTAAAGAGCAGTGCTTGAAGTTAGTGGAAATTCACATGAAACTTCTGAAATTGTTGAGCGCCATCCTTCACATATCTTTTGATCAACACATTGAACAAGCTCACTCAATCACTACAGATGGCCAACCACTTCACTCTTCGCCAATCTTCAAATATTCTACATCATTGTACTGCATTTCCTTTACTCATTAAATGTTGGACATAAACCGCGCATAATTCATGATGGATTATCACAGAATTCATGGTTTATCATGAAGAAATTGGGAAACAACAGCAACAGTTTTGCAACTGGCAGGATTATCAGTCACAGGACACATCACAACTCATTCTGAAGACACAAGAACCAATACTAGGTGACTAGCTGAGTGAAGTTTTACAAGACATGAGTGAGCTCTCCCTGCTTCTACATTATTTGCCCAAAATAAAGGGAGGTTACCTTCTGAATAGCCCTTATATGTTGGTGGTAGTACATCCAGTAACTATTTCTTATGATAGAGGGATTTCCTTCCAAACAGAAAAAAAGATGCTTTACAATGAAATAATTTACATTCAAGGTTCTTATGTTTGAGGGTAAAGTTGAGGGTTGGGGTGGTGTCGGAGAGGGCTTAAAATGTTAAAATGTGCAAATTATTAAAATCTTAAATGGAGAAAATTCAACATTTGTTTCACTAACTTGTGATTATTGAAACTAAACATCCAGTGGGGCTTGAATTGTATTACTGCAGTCTCTGCAAATTCATATCTTGACACAGGAAAATCATCATGAAGGTCTTTGAAGCAGCAAATGTGAAATCAGTGACTATTGACAAGAAATAAGTTTAAATATAAATGTTATTGAGAATGCATAATACTTTTTAAGAATTGTGAAATACATCCAACAACCTGTTGACAAATGAAGCGTTAGTTTTTAAACATGGCAAGAAGGAGCTGTAAGAAAATACAGTGTGTGTCAATGAATCGGGCTATTTTAAAAACGTTATGAACTATTGAATTTATTTGGTTTTAACACACATGAATACAGTATAAACATAAAGGCATTTGATTTCTCTCAATTAATTCACTGAAAACAGAAGTCTATTTGCCAAAAATAACACCCGACAGATGACCACCATTCCGCTGTAGGCACTTGGTAAGTCTCTTCCTAAAGTCACTCATTACTCTTTGCTGCATCTGTAAGGGAATTTGTTCAACTTCTTCCCGAATTCGACGTTTAACTCCTGAACTGTGTGGGGTGCTGGAGATTTGAAATCTTGGAATTTCAGATACCCCCAGGGGAAAAAATCGTATGTGGAAAGATCAGGTGACCTGGCTGGCCATATGATGTCCCCATACCTGGAGATAACATGGTTAGGAAAGAAGTTATTCAAAACTGTCATGGAAGCTCGTGTGGTGTGGCACGTAGCACCATCTTGCTGGGAAAAAACGTTTCTTCCTTAACTGGAAGATGAGAAAGTGCAGGAGCCAAGAAGCTCTCCAACATGTTAACATAACGTGGTCCAGTTACAGTTACAGCCCTTTCCCACTCATCTTCAAACAAGTACGGGCCAATAATTCCAAATGAAGATATCGTGCACCATACAGTGACTTTGAAACTGTGAAGTGGTCTCTCATAAATTTCTTTTGGTTTTGTGGCTGACCCATAGCAGAAATTTTGTTTGTTAACAAACCCCGACAAATGGAAATGAGCTTCATCACTCATCAGTCAGTTGTTAACGACTTCTTGGTTTTGATTAATTAATTGCAAAAATGTCGGGCAGAAATCAACTCTGTTTTCACAGTCGTGTTTGTGTGGTGCACGAGTAGTTTAAATTTTATAAGGGTAGAACTGGAGGTCTTTGCAAAATCCGTTGAACACTGGCTTCGGACAGCCCAAGTGATGTAACTTGGTGAAGCGCAGACCAACGTGGACTTCGTTCAATGGCTCCTCTCACTGCTGCTACATTCTCAGGTGTACGTGCTATTTTTACACTATCACCTTTCTTCTTTAGTGTAGAACCAGTAGCCTCAAAGTTTTGGACACAGGTCTTGATGGCATGGGCAGATGGAACAGCATGATTGCGATGGATTTTAAACTCTCTTCGAAATTCACGCTGAGCGATCATGAAACTGTCACCGTTTTTGTAAAATGCTTTCACAGGAAAAGCATTTTCCACTCCAATCCACGGCTCCATTGCAACCAAAACGCTTTTAAGTAGGCTGCTGGGTGGCAGTAGTGGCATCCTCCCCGCTCCAATGAATCCAGGAGAAACATCGCTGCCAAAGTGCCCGATTCATTGACACACTCTGTATTATGAAATAATAAATGAGAAAGAAAACCAAAGGGACAATATGCAATACTTGAAGAATTCAGAGGGAAAGATTGAATATTGAAGGCTCATCCTGGAATTGTTTGATAGTATTTATGAGCCATTAAGGAACGATTCTGTAAAAGTATTGACTTCTTCCAAAGATATTACAGAAAATCGGTCTGAGGTACTTGTTTAGACTTTGTAAAATGAGTTATCAGACAGATGTGAATGGATATATTTAGATTCATTTAATAATTATATTTTTGCTACTGTTTTCAGTATTCATTTGCTGACATCAATACCACAGACTTGCATGTGAACTATATCATTTTATATTATGACTTCAAGTAACATGGAAACCAATAAAGTACAAAATAATTCTTTCATACACACCCTACTGGCTCCTTCTTTGTGAATGTCAGGTTCCTATTTGGTCTTGCATGGTTGATAGGAATGGTGGACCCATGGATTTTATCACACCATCCAGCAAAATATCTCCATGTCTCTATTGACATTCCAATATGAGTTTTTAGTGCCAAAGTATAGACTGCCCCAGAATCAATTGATTCAATTGTTGCTAATTCCTCCTTATGTTCTTCCAGCAAATCTGCCAATCTGAAACGTAGAAAGTATCATCGTGACAATAAGAAGATTATCCCTTGCTTACACAATTGACATGGAACCAGTACATAACTGTTACCTGTACATTATCAGTCCCCTGTCTCGGGCATTCATTTTACTCCATTCTCCATTTTCAAATGCCATTTTGGCTGCCTGAACAGCCTTGTGAACATCAGCTGCTGATGCTTGTTGTACCTGGTAAATATACCAGAGTAAGGTAATCAAAGTAGAACTTGACAATTTATAAATTTTATAAATCTCATAAATGGCAACATTCACAATGTAAGACACAATCACTAGAAGTTCAGAACTTCTTTAGGTAACCATAGCATTATGTAGCATTACCTAGAAGCAACACACCTGAATTGTCATTATGAATACAGAGAGAAAATGAATGTAGCTCATTTCAATTTGAATGTTCCGTAAATTCAAGTACAGGTTCACACCATAGGATAATGAACAATTCAAGTACAAATACTTAATACTTGTACAATATCGGTTGTGCTTGATAAGTTAATAAGATCATAATACAGTATTAATATTACCATGCTAACTGGATACATACAGCACAGTCTGCCAATAAGCAAAATGATTCAGTAACCTGCTTCAGAAAATATTTTAGCTTAGAATTTATGGTAGTTACTGTTTGTTTACACTGATTTATTTGTCTATGGAGTAGAAGGTGTAAGTAAATAACGTTTCAAGGCTGTTTTAAATGGCCGTTGCTGCTCTGCATTTAAATGTCAGTTCGTCTTAGAAAGCTTACATTGCTGTATCTAATACAATTTTTATGGTAAATGAATGGAATTAACGTTGTTTTTATCAGCAAAGAACATAGTGCTGCATAGCATAACGAAAGATTTAAAAGTATGTAGACAGAATGTTATAAACTACTTTTAATTTTTTTCTTGTAATTATGATAATTTTCCTGGGGAGTAAAGCGTGGCCGGTGCATAAGGCTGACAACCTTACCGCCATCTTTGAGTTGATTGTCTAGATAATGTGGGATCCTCAACGTCTCACAACTCTATGGGCCTTCATGGTCTGTTACAGGAATAGCTTGACTTTTTTTCTTTTACTTCATTTTGATATGTACTGTAAAAATAGTTTCCCACTTTTTCACATAGTAGTTCTGCATTATAAAATCAATCCTGCTTGTAACACTTGAAAATTTTCGCATTCTCTGGTGCCATAAAGTACTTGGAGGCAATAAAGTCATTTGCTTCTCTGCTGGCAAGTTTCAAGTCTTTGTTACACCCTTCAGATATCCCAGTCTTCTGACTAAAGGGCAGAAATGTGAAAATATGTCCTTTCAAGACAGGCTGGAGGGAATATTCATTGTTCCCTAATTCAGTGCCAAGCCCTGCCATTGCAGCTGCAAGAGAATATTGCCCTTTGTATGGTTGCGAACAAATGCTTGTTTCACAGCTGTGATACAGAGTGCATTCAGTTTTCTGTGAGGTCATAGTGAATTTGAATATTGTAGTTTCATTTTATCATACAATGGCATTGAAACCTTGTTTGGAAGATGATGAAATTGAAAGGCAGTTGATATGCGTAATATGTTATGTGGGACTGTGCTTTTCTGGTACTTCAAGGAGTACTACACAAAGGCGAGATTCAGTTACATGAGGGGGGGTTGAAGCCTGTATATACATTGAGCAGATTGCAAATACAAAGTATGTAGATTGAATTTTACTATATTTAAAAATAAATATTTAGGATTGTGTGCACGCTTCCACTAGCTGAGTTTAAATGCCCAGCTGCCCAAATCAGGGTACTTCGGCCACGATGACCATACTGTAACGATCGATGAACTTCAGACATTAAAGGTTAAATTGCTTAATATTACAAGATGCTCTTTTGAGATTTTGAGGGAGGCTATTGAACACTTTCATGATGAAGGAGTGAACTCCTTTTTGATATAGAGATAGGTTTGATGAATGTTAGTGAAAATTTAGCTTTTGCTTGTATTTATGTTATGGATGTCAGAATTTAAATTGTAAATGGTTTTGTTGTCTACCACAGATAACAGGAATGAGAGTATGTGTTGTGAGTAAGATGGTAATATTTTTAATATTTTAAATAAATCTTTGCAAGAATCTCTGTTTTTGTTTCCTGTGATATTTCTAATTGACCTCTTTTGTGTTTTGAAGATTTTCCTGCCATCTGTAGAGTTTCTCCAGAAAATTATTCCATATGATATAGCAGAGTGTGAGCAGGCATAGTAAACCTTTTCAGTACTTCCTGAGACATATAGGGATTAACAGATCTGAGTGCATATCTGTTGAGAATCTAGTAATGTAAAAATATTCATGTAGGTAATAGTGATCTATATTCATTTGGTTTTGTTTTGTGTTATAATAAAAAGTTTCTTCTCATCCAAAATGGCTGTTAAGTGATATATAAGCATGACACAAAAAAATCAACAGGTTAAAAGACAGAAGAAGAATAGTGAGAAAAATGACAACCACAGAGACAAAAGAGGTAACTCATCTGCCAAAACTGAAGGACGCTGACTCATTTTCATTGTGGGATTTTGAAATCAAGATTCTGATGCATGCAAAAGAACCGATAAACATCGTTGTTGGCAGCGACCTGTTAAGTGACCCAAGGAAGAGACGAAGAAAATATAAGGAAATGGAAGATGCGAGATGCAAAGTGCCATTACTACGTAGTGAGAACGATAGAGAAACACGTGAAGACCCACATTGTGACATGCACAACTGCGAAAGAAATGTACGACACCTTGAAGCAAATTTATTAGTGAGGCACCTCTCAACAGAAGTGCCTTCTGCTACAAGACTTCTACAACTTCAAGTATGACGAAACTAAGGAAATGATGACGAATATAAGTCATGTGCAGAACATTGCCTTCAAGTTTCATCAGCTGAACCAAAACGTTGATGAAAACGTGATCATGACAAAAATAACAACGATTCTACCAGAAGACTACAAACACTTCAGGACCACCTGGGACTCAACGGCGACCGTGGACAGAACTCTTGACAACCTGGCGGCCAGATGGATGTTGGAAGAAGTGAAGTGCAAGATGACGACTAAAGAAGAGGAAAGCATAGCTTTTAAGACAGTAACTAAAACCAAAAGTAAAACCCCTTTCAAGTGTTTCAATTGTAATAAAATAGGTCATGACCAGATCAACTGCCCCAACAAATGTAAAAGAAATTGCTCTATCTGTAAAAGGAATAATCACTCTGAAAGGGATTGTTATTTTAAAGATAGGAATAAAAGAAGCAAGGTCAATTTTCTAGCTGAAGCAGCAGAAACCCACATGACTGATGCAAGTGAAAAAGACAAAATGTATGTAGTGGATAGAGGTAGCACATGTCATATGACAAAAGTGAAGACTTATTTTATACATATTAAGCAGTATACTCAATGTATAAAGGTAGCAAAGAAAAATCGAAGTATGACTGCAAAAGAAATAGGCAATTTGGAATTTAAAGAGTGTAGTTTTGAAAACGTTTCATATGTTCCAGAACTCAGCAAAAACCTGCTGTCAGTGCACTGTATTACAGAAAATGATGGAGAAGTGTTGTTTACAAAAGAGAAAGTCCAGATACTCAAGGACAAAAATGTTATAATCGGAGGAAAAAAGGATGAAAATGGGTTGTTTGTAATTAACTTTAGTGTGAGGAATGAAGCCATGATGACTCAGCAAGATACAAGTGTGGAGTGGCATAGACAGCTAGGTCACATAAGTTATGCGAATCTTAGGAAACTACAAGAGATATGCCAAGGGATACCAGAAAGTGTGAGCAAGTGTAAAAATTTTGATACATGTTCAGTTTGTATGCAGGCCAAACAAGTGAGACTCCCATTTGATACAGAAAGAAGCAGGGCTGGAAAGCCATTAGAGATAATTCATAGTGATGTGTGTGGACCAATTGATCCCACCACTTATGACAATAAGAAATATTTCCTTATGTGTGTGGATGATTATATGCATTTTTGTAAGATATACCTGTTAGAAAATAAGAGTGAAGTGTGTACCTCTTTGAAGGAATATGTAAATGAAGCTGAGTGTCACTTCAATACAAGAGTGAGAAGAATAAGATGCGACAATGTAGGGGAATATAAGAACAACGCCTTGAGAGAATGGTATAAGAACAAGGGGATTGTAATGGAATTTACTACACCATATTCATCATAGCTAAACGGCACTGCCGAAAGGATGAACCGTACCATTGTCAAAAAGGCAAGAGCATTGATTTTTTACTCGGGTTTAAGTTAGAGAATGTGGGGTGAAGCTGTACTCACTTCTGCATATCTGTTAAACAGAAATCCAACAGTGACAGTGAATGGAACGCCAGCGGAAAAGTGGTATGGTAAAAGACCAGATCTGGCTGGATTGAAGATTTTTGGTTCAAAAGTGTACACTAAAATTCTTGGACCATTGAAAAAGTTGGACAGTCATAGCAAGAAAGGAATATTCGTTGAATACAACACAAATGGCTACAAGATATGGGATCCAAATACTGAAAGGACCTATGTCTCCAGAGATGTGACATTCACAAGTAAACCTGTGACAACAAATAAACAAAAGAAAATGGAAAGAGTGACGGATCCAGAAGACAAGCCAAATACTCCAGATCAGGAAGATAGCGAAATGGAGCAAGAACCCTAAGCTGACAACAATGAAGAAGAACCAATAGATACTGAAGAAAATGAAAATGCTGACCACAAGGATGATGGAAGGAAAAACAATGGACAAAACGAACATGGATATGCATTGAGACCAAGAAGAAAATTCGAATGCACCCAAAGTACTGAGACTATCACACGGAGAGTCAAAAGGAGGGTATGCTCGCCTATACATATGATGAGTGCATGGAGAGCGAAGACAGCGAGAAGTGGAAGAAAGCCATTAAAGAGGAAAAGGATTTGCTCTACCGAAGCAAAACTTGGATATATGTAAAGAGAGAGAAAGCAATGGGCAAGAAAATTCTGACCAGTAAATGTGTTTCCAAAATAAAGGATGATGGAGAGGATGTCAACAAAAAGAAGGGGAAGTAGATTTGAAGGATACCTTTAGCCCAGTTGTTGACATGAATTCTCTTAGAGTACTGTTTGCCATAGCAACACATAAGAATATGAACATGCTAACCTTTGATGTGAAGACTGCCTTCCTGTATGGAGACCTTGAGGAGGAAAACTACATGGAGATACCAGAA